TTTTTTCATTCAGTTCCACTTTTTCTCTCCCGTATTTATGTTGATTCAGCGTCATTGAATGCCCTGCACAAGGGCAGTGATACAATTATCTGCTGGAGCACATCCAGAGGGGAAAGGAGCGCATGGGGCCATGCCCCTCCTCTTAAGCCCTACGAGGTTTAGGTGCCTCGAGAGAACACAAAAATATATTGTTGACTGGGTACCAAAACCTTCATTTCTGTGCACCACAACCTGTATCAGTAAGAAGAGCTAAGTCGAAGCGGGGTGTTTATAGCGCCCAATGGCTTTATTTTACAGGGTAACTAAAATCCAGGGCATCACAGTTGCCTTACCGCTCACCCTAGAAAAGTTCCGGATTTGTCTGCTTGGTGGATGGGCTTCAAAACATCCATTTCCGAGCGCCATGTCATTTATAATCCAGAGGCCCCTTATTACAGCTGGCAGTACAGAGGGCCCCAAGGACCATCATTTTTGACAGGCAATAAATGCTAAGGGGGACCATAATGGCCGTGCCTTTCTATTGACAAATTCTTGGACGGCCATTCGGCGAAGGGGCACCAAAACATTTATTTCGTGGCGCCATAACATTGTTTTCTAAGGGCAACGATCTCAAGCGGGCCATTGAAAGGGCCCCGAAGCCTTCATTTCAGGTGGCGACAAATAAAGGGGCACAACAGTTCCTTTGCCTGCCACCCTCACGAAACCCTGGATCAGACCCAACGGCTGGGGAACCAAAAGCCTTTCTTTTTGGGGTATCATAAACTTGATTTGCAAAAGGCACCGATTCCAGAGGTGCCACAAAGGGCAGCAAAAGCTTCCGTTTTAAGTGACGACAAATTCCAGGTGGACCAGAGATGACCCAAAGTCTTTATTTCTTCAGGAGGAACCAAATGCTAACGCTCGCTGGGCTTACGACGAAGGGCCCGATTAGAGGGTCAGAAGGGCAGGTCAGAGGTTATATCCAAGGTAGGTCATCCCGGAGACCTGACCCTGAAATGTCAGTCAGGGGGCCTCTTGCACCGCTTTGGGGCTCCTGAGACAGTGCAATTCTAAAATCAGCTGGCTAACCAACATAACAGAACAGTCGGTTCCGTGCCGGTCTAGGCCCTGGGAGGTCCTCTCCGCAGCAGAGGCAAAGGCGCGCCTGCCAATGCCAATCAGAAGGCCTCTTGCACTGGTTCGGCCGCTGAAATAGTGAAGGGCCCCTGCGCTGGTCAGGAGACCACAGTGCCTAACGGGGCCTGTTACAGCACACCCGTTAGAGGCCTGCTAAAGCACACCTGTTACAAGCCTGCTACAGGGCACAGTGCCTGTGTCGACAAGGGGCCCATCGTCTGCCAGGGGAACATTTTCTGAGCACGGACAGCTACGGGACCCCTAATACCAAAAGGCCTCTTGTGTTGATTCGGAACCGTTTCACTATAAAACAGATATATAACGTTGAAAAGGTTCACTTTCACGAACAAAGCAGTGAAAAAGAAAGAGGAGGGCAAAAAAAACAGAAAGAGGAGGACACAAAGGAGGTTGCCGATCTGTGATAATGACGCGCAAGTCAAGTGACCGCGTATCGCGATGAAGGGTCGGTGAGAGTTGATGCGAGTCCGCGCTGTGGCTGATTTTGAAACCTCATCTCACGCGTCGTGACTGATTTGGAAACCTCATCTCACGCGTACGTCGATGGAGATGCGTCGTGCTGCTGTAGCATGAGCTGTTCTGCTGTGGAATATGTTCTGTCGTTCTGACCGAGATGCGTCGTTCTGCTGTGCTTCGATACTCAAGGGTGTTTTAAATGCTGATTTGGAAGTTTTGGTTTGGCTTCATTGTATATCAATGGAGAGGCGTCATGATGCCATTGAAAGCATCACTCTGCTGTAGGACGCGTTATTCTGCTACAGGATGGGTCATTCAGTTGTGGGGTGTGTCGTTCTGATGTGCTATATTCGGGCGATACGATGCTGTGCTGTGACGCGTCTCCAGCGTATGTCGATGGTGACGCGTCGTTTTGCTGTGGAATGCGTAAGTCTGCTGAGATGCATCATCCTGTTCTTCTTATGCGTTTTTCTGCTGGGCTACGTTATGACTACATGCGTTTGTGTTGCTACGCTGAATCAACATAATGACTGAACACTGGGTGAGACCCTCGAGAGTGCTTAGAGACCATACAGACGTCGTCTGCTCTCTGCAGAGAACCACATTTTACGAGGACCTTAGAGGGGTGTTTTCGTCTCGGGAAATTCTTTCTTGCAAGGTTCTTGGCGTTATTGCAGGTGATCTCACTCGAGAGTGCTCGATTGTCTCCATAATCGACCAATGGGAACATGGAGACAGTCGACCAATCTCATGCGGGATCATTTGTGCCGACGTTGAGAACCTGGAAGGAAAAGAACAGCCCGAGAAAAAAAAGCCTCGTCTTAAGTTCTCGCAAAATGTGGCCCTCTGCAGAGGGAAGATTGAACCCTCAGTGCGCTCTGAGAACTTTCGAAACGCCTGCCTGTCTTGCAGTGTTGTGTGGGGATTGAGCTGAGCGTCTGGGAACCGGAGGTCAGGGGTTTAATTTCCCGCGATGTCCGCCCTTCCTCCCAGGCCGAGAGGCAGGCAGCGTCATATAGCCTCAGCAGCTGAGTGCGTCGTGAAGCCCCAGTGATGCATGCGCACACGCACGTAAGGCTTCTAAACATGTGCCTCCTACCCCTAGTGTTCCACGCAAGGGGGCTCCTTGCCCGGAAAAAAAATGTGGGGTCTTATTAATGTTGAATAGAGTGGATCAAAATAAGTTGAAAACGAGCAAGGTCATCCTATGTGTGTCTGGGAATGCTCGTTCTTTTCAGATTTGACTAGTGAAACACGCTGCATCAAAAGGCTTGAGCCTACGCGCCCGCAACCTCGGGAGCAAGGACAGCGATTGCCTGGGTTGCAGTTTTCGTAAAACCGAACGGCGTTGGCCACTGCAAGTAACAACAGGCGACGGGCGCCAAGCGCTCGAGACTAACCGTCTTATAATAATGGTTCCGAATGTCTGTCAGCATAAATTCGCAGCTTTCAAAGACTAGACTGATCGTACCAAACTTGCAACTTCAACACGCGCCTTGGTGGCCGGTTGGATACCCTTCGCTCGGGTGGGGGTCAATTTGACCCCGCTGAGATCTCTGGAACTAAGAGAGGTAGGGACACCAAATTCACAGAATGTTTCGACCTGTACGTGAACTCTTTTAGATCAAAGTTTAAGGCTCCTAGGTCATGACTTTCGAGCCGAATAAGGTCAAACAAGGTCAAATTTCAGATTGGTCTCCAAAGGGCTTCTAGAGCCTAGGCAACAGTTGTAAGCAAAATGTCACACGCTCGGTTCAGATCATTAACCCTTTTTGACCTTTTAAAGTTCACGATGACCAACATGATATTACAGTTCACTGAACCATTGTAAAATAAAAAATTCCAGTGTTTTATTTTATTCAGTCGCCTAACGCATGATTTTTCCGGTTCATTGGCTTAAAACCTGAGTAGGATTGGTCTCGGGTTGGCTTCGAGCTTTAATCAAGTTATAGAAGGAGAGATGAAAAATATCAGTGAAAGCACACTATCAGTAGCAAATGTGTCTTATCCGGCGATTTGTTTGGGGCGGGGCTTTTAATTGTTAGTTCACCTTTTATATATCCCATAAACGCCGACCCCCCCACCCTCCCCGGTTACCAAGGCTCTGACTCCGCGTCGAGGCCTTAGATAATAGAGATAAAGAAGCCTTATAAGAGGGCCCTTATAGAAGTCCTCTGACTGACATTTTAGGTCACGGCACTACGGGTGGGGCGGACTAGGACCGATTGCAATCGGGCCCTTGATGTTTGGTCCTGAGGGGCCCTTCGGCCCCTCTTCGGACCTCCTCAAACAAAGCCCATGGCCGACTAGAGGCCACTAGCCGACACGTGAACCCTTGTAAGGCACTGTGAGCCCCTAACCGACACAGGGCCCCAACTATCACTTCAGAGACCCAGACTAATACAAATCAGCCACCTGTTCGGTGCTCGTGTTTTCTGGCCGACTTTCACACCCGCAGTGACTCAGGGGCCTCAAACGGTGCATGAAGACTCTGACTTATATTAGACGCTCCCTACCCTACGGGCCGTGATTTTGTTTGTGGCATGCAGCCAGTCCTTTGTTTCACACAGTCGTCGTTGGAGGGCCCTTAAGCCCTCCAACTGGGGCTTTTAGCATTGGTTCCGGTGGGCCGCACCTGGCGCTCTTCGGACGGGGCTCCGATTGGTGTAAATCGCCGGCTCCGGCTTTGTCCCTGCTTGCGAAATGAGCCCTCAGGCCCATGCCGCCACGGAGCCGACTGTGCGTTGCTGGTGGTGTCTGGCCGACATATAGATCTTTATCGAGTCTGGGGGCCCTAACCAGCGTGCAGGGCCCTCTGGCTGGCATTGGAGTGCCCGGTCCTGCGGGCTGGTACCCCTGAATGCGACCTCTGGCCTGCCCTTCGGGCCTTTAAATCGGGCCCCTGATCGTAGGTTCCGAGGGGTCCTTCGGACCTCTCGGGACGTAAGAGGGGGAGACATGTGTCCCTGTGCCCCCCCCCCCCCCCCACCTGCCCGCGCTACTGATGCCTTGCATACCTGCAAGCACTATTTTAGACGCAAGAGATTTCCTCAAAAGATTCTGAACCTATTATATGGCTACCTGGCTAGGGCCGTACTTTTCTTTTCAGTTGGGGGGGGGGGGGGGCTGGAACGCCACGCAGTGAAAAGAAAGGAGGTCAAAGGCAGCGTGAAACCCGTTATCTAATGTAATTTGAGAACAAGTGCAACTCGATTTTCCGCGCTCAGTCTTCCCAACCCAAACTTATTTTATGAAGCAACACACCCGTACCTGGTGCAGCAGAGGTGGTCGTGGAAGACGTCGTAGTTTCTTCTGGAGCCACCGTTGACGTAGTTGTTTGGGTCGAGCTGGGCTCCTCGCTGGTTCCTTCTGGTGTCTCGCTTGTGTTTTCGCTGGTTCCTCCCAGTGTCTCACTGGTGCTCTCGCTGGTTCCTTCTGGTGTCTCGCCTGAGTTCTCGCTGGTTCCTTCTGGTGTCTCGCTGGGGCCCTCACTGGTTCCTCCTGGTGCCTCGCTTGAGTTCTCGCTGGTTCCTCCCGGTGTCTCGCTGGGGCTCTCGCTGGTTTCTCCTGGTGTCTCGCTGGGGCCCTCGCTGGTTCCTCCTGGTGTCTCGCTTGAGTTCTCGCTGGTTCCTCCCGGTGTCTCGCTGGGGCCCTCGCTGGTTCCTCCTGCGGTCTCGCTGGGACCCTCGCTGGTTCCTCCTGCGGTCTCGCCGGGGTCTTCGCTTGCTCCCTCCGGTGTTACGCTGGGGTCCGCGCTGGTTCCTCCTGGGGTTACGCTGGGGTCCGCGCTTGCTCCTGGGCTTACGCTGGGGTCCTCGCTGGCTCCTCCTGGTGTTGAATTACCATCTGTGGCAGGCCCGGCGTCACTGGATAGGCCCAACAGGTGCGTCACGGCATCGGTTAGCGTCGAGATACTAATGAATCAATGATGATGATGCCAGTTACCAACTCAATAACCCGATCTTTAGACAATGTTGTTCGTCTGGCAGGCAACAAGTGCAGGCAAATGGACCATAAGCAGTTTATCATACAAGATCGGCATTTATACCTACCATATCATATCGTATATGTATTTACCATATCATATTGTATAGGTGTTTATAACTGACCCTTCGTGTTTATCATATATTGAAGCATTTGTTTTCCAGATGATATGGCGATCATGACGACTTGGAACGCCCGAACGACAAGACCTGAGGGATGATCTCGTTCGGATAATACTATGAACCAACCGGCTGCTGTTCTCCATTTTTTTGTATCGATAGCAACCAATTGTGCTCGCCTCTTGAAAGTTATATATGAGCAAGGCATAGTCGATGTCCTAATATGTTTTAGTTTTTGCCATTTCCTGGAGCTGTGAATGTATGTGTTGTGGAACACACAACCAGCCATGCCCGCTGCCGTCGTCCACCGGATGCACGCGCATTAGCGCGGGTAATTACTTCTCATGGGATCATGGGAGTTCGCATATTGCCGATATAAGCCCAAAAAGGTCACTGATCGCAGGTGCTCCTCATTAGCGTCCGTATAATATCACTTACACCGGCAGAGCAAACTCCTTCTTAGTGCAAAATTATACCGTTGATTCGGAGACCGACCTTGAGCGGCACGGTCAGGGCCCATCCACAAAACATTGGCGAGCGAGGGGGCTGATTACAAAAATCCCTTCAACTACTAAAGATTCGTGCCAAACACTTGAAACCTTGACTTACCAGTCGGCTATGTGAGAGCACATTGTGCTGGAGGGAAACCGGTCGGCTGACGCTTCATGCTCGCCCGGTAGTGGGAGCTCAAAATGGCCGCTTTGTGCGAGTGGCCAAATGATGAAACAAGAAGAAAGGGACATCGAAAGCGAAGCATTTCACTTTTTAATTAGCAAGATCGATCAGCGTGGTTCTTGCCACATTATCAGGCTATGGTGGCTGAAGCCATTCGTGTCCAGCCCCACGTCATGGGAGTCGGAAACAGTTCAGCGGAGAGACAAACATGGAGTTGGTGAACCGTGGAAGGCATGGGCATTGATGGTGCCAGGCATGCGCTGTCTCTGCGCTCATCAGAAGACAACTATGTGCAGAGTGCAGCCTGCCTGCTATCAGCCGTTGAAAAGATAAAACATGAGCTGTCTTCTATTATGTCTGTGAATGGTAGGGAAACTCAAGCCAATTTTACGCTGCTCAGCCTTTTTGACTTTGAAGATTTTGTCCTCCATTTCTAGTTAATAATTGGAACTAAATGAGGCATCTTACCCATTTTTCTGTTATGATGTACTTTTTCTGTCATAATTTTCACTTTCTCCGAGTACTACGGTGGTGTGCAGAATGGAAGTCTATCTTAAAATCCAGGTGCAACCACAACACGAACAAAAGGTCGCGCAACACCTCGCCGGCACGACCCCATCGGCCCCCTTCTGACCGGCGCAAGTGGCTGCGTTCTGCGGGACGTGTCCGACGGGACAGGCGCAGGTGTTGCTCCGACACACACCCACGCCAGACGTGAGGAAGCTGCACTCGTCGTCGTCACTGCACCAGTCTCCCAGGAACGCTGCCGCACGGGACGCGTGTCAGCCGGTGGTGATGATGGTGCGGGACTTGATGGTAATGATTTGGGACGGTGATGGCGGTAATCCGGGACGGGTCCTGAAAATGTGCGCTCGGCGTGTCTTCAAGGCACCTGCCGGCTCAGCTGCGGTTGTTGCCTTCGCAGGCGCCATGACGTTATTTGCTTACCAAGAATACCATGTTGAAGAAGCAAGGCTTGATGGATGAGAAAGAAGGTCAGGTTTAATTTCAATTGAATTTAAATGTCTTATTATCCGGCGCCGAGTGTTATGTACGACGGGGGCGTTAGGAGCTAAGGAGACATCACACTACAGTAGTTCAACACACCACGCGCTAGCGGCAGGAAGGGTCCTTCCTTAGACTTAATCCGCAACAACACGAAAAACGCCTGAACCTGTGTAGTCTCCACGCATCACTACAGTTAGAACAGCTAGCAGGTTGAAGGCTTACCCAGTCCTTTCCTGTAGTAGATCGGACCACCGGTCTGGGGTCGTGTGGTCTCCTCGTTCCCGCGGGTGCTGAACAGCGTGCACATTCCACTGGCCGTGTCGTGAGTGAAGCTGAGGCAATGCGCGTTCAAGAGGCAGAGTAGACGACACCGGCCTGACAAGCATGGCACAGTCGCTGTAAACGCCACCGGCCGACCAGGGTGCAGTCGCTGTAAACGTCACCGGCCGACCAGGGTGCAGTCGCTGTAAACACCACCGGCCGACCAGGGTGCAGTCGCTGTAAACGCCATCGGACGACCATGGCGCAGTCGGTGCAAACGCCACCGGACGACGGGAAGACGACGAACCTACCTGAGTCATGAGTGACTGGCATAACCCGTTTGCCGGAGTTAAAGGGAGTATTTCACTTCTGAAGATATTCAAGAAAACATCAGATATGATAAAATAAGCTCACTTTTAACTATTGGCATGTTTTTCAAGTGGAACAGACTGCTCTAGACGGCACAGTTCTCCGTTTAGTAAACATGTTCCTCAATGTGTCATGGTTTGATTACGTCATCGCACCTTGTCAAACATTGATTGAGAGCCAGTTGACGACCGTTATGTCTGGAAATCGTGAACACAAACGTTAGATACGAACGCCTCGACAGTTACCTTCTTCTTGGCCTTGGTCGTCACATGGCTTATGAATTGGCAGGATTTCAACGACGTTTTGACGTCATGAGTGCCAAGGTGACTTTGGAATACTCTCCCCGATAAATCTTTTCTCAATTTCGCGGGCGTGTAGCTAAAAAACTGGAAGGGCCTAGGTGTTAAGAAGAGTGGGATTTGAACAGTACCGAAAGGTCTTCAAGATGGTTAGCTCAATTAAAAACCCCATATTAATGTGGAACATTCCCTTTAAGACCCTTTTGTAGCTTACTTCACGTCCACCCGCCCAGTATCGCGCGCTTGTCCTAGTTTGTGCATCCTAGGTTTGCCAACTTAGGTCATCTAATGCCAATTCAGGCCAGATGCGGAAAATTACGGAATTTTTGCGGCAATAATATTTTACCTTTCGTGGCCTGTCATGGTGTCTTAAGGCGGCATCAAAATATATTTGACGCAGTTTGATATGCTCTGCCCATCGTCATTGGCTTCGCCACCATGCCATGCCTAGTTGTTGTGATAACGGGATAGGGCGTTTATCGCACACAGGACTCCTGACTTAACCCGCGTGACCTGATTTGATGTGTCATGTATTACGCCCATTGATGGATTCATTTCGATACACGATTCAGTCTACCAAGGGTTACACAATTATGCAACGCAACCTTCAGTTCTGTCATACTAGGTCATGTCCTTAGGGTAGAACTATTTTTAAAAATAAATCACACAAAGTGATCAAGTTTACTCCATTGACATTATTTGACGCATTCAAGGTCACCTGCACTGCCATCCAACAGCACAGATCTGGCGCGGCCTCACCCGCGCCTCCAGCGCTTCGTTCCACCATTCAGCATATTTCGTCTCTAAGAAGCGAGAAGGCCTGAAAGGCGCTTCTTGCAGACAAGGTAGGAGAAACGCCTGTCCGGTGGGGCTCAGGGGTTTAAACGGACTTCAATGTGACGCGATTAAGTTCTCGAGGATGTTTTTGTTTGTGCTGATGCTGCTCAAAGCGTTTCGTCCGTTTTCTCTGCACGAAGACATATCGAAAGGCTCGTTACGGGCCCATGGAAGAGCGCTGGTGAAGTCGCAAACTGGTGCGCGGTGATTGGTGTACGATCGCTTCCAATAAATCTATAAAAATGTTCACATTATATGCACATATCTAACAAGGCGTGCAGTTGAAGCCCTAGTACGTACACGGGTCTCATAGAATAGCGCAGTAAAGAACACCTGCGTGAGATTAAGTCATAATGTACCAAATCACACCGACACTCACATTCTGAACGCTGGGCTGTTTCGGAGAGCACTTCCTCATCGGGAGCGGGTCCGGGTGTAAACTGCCAGCCGGCGTTGTGGACCACGAACGCATCGGTGGGCAGGGACAAGACGGTAGCCCCGGTCGGCAAGCCGGCAGAAATCAGGGCAGCCAGTGCCGAGGTCAGCCACATGTTGACCTCTTGGCGGACCCGACTGTAATGCCGCCAGCGGGACGGCACCATTACCGCTGGCCCGGCTCGGTCACCCGGCAACACGGTGCAAGCCGGCACCGGCGGCGTCAGCGCAACAGCGAGGCAGCCGGGTGCGTAGCGTCGCAGAGTGATTGGGGGACTGAGGTGGGAAAATGGCTAGACCTACCCCAACATTTTTCGAAGCACCATATTCCCAGAATGTGGCCCCCCATTCTTATCGAAGTCAGGGTAGGATCCCACAAAATTGAACAGGAATTACACTCCTGGATGCAGTCTCCATGGCTTATGCGATGTGTGGAGGGACGGCCAAAGTCCGGGCACGGATCAGGGATATCCATGCACAGCAATGAAAAACTGCTGGGATCTAACGCTACCTGCCTCCCACGATTACGAAGATTGGCATACGGTGCACAGTGGTCCATCTTCTATGTGCTCGCCGGCGAATGGTGTTCGTTTTTGCGTTCAAGCGGTTAGAAGCGCTCCGAGTTGTCTTTAGCAGCCTATTGCATCTTCGTATTGTGACTGAACTGAAATATTTAGGTTGGGGTGCATCAGGAGGCTTCCGTGAGCAAGATCTCTGTAACGCATGCCACATAGCAGTTCTTGAGGTTGAACGTGGTTTGTCTGCAGAATGACTCAAAGCCGTCCTTCATATAAAAAGGACCATCTTGTGATGTGCTCACGTGAAACAGAAGTGAGGTGTTCGTTCGTTGGACTACTGTCCCTACGAGACAGCCATTACGTGCGATCATGCTGCGGCGCACTATCTTTGCGATCATGTTACGGTGTGTTATCCTTACCATCACATTACAGCGTACTTTCTTTCAGTATCACGCACCTGGGATGCAGGTGCTGCACTAACTCTTGCCTCGGTGGGCAAATTTCCGTTTAACGAATCACGTCAATCACGCGCACCCCGTCCATGGCCTTAAAACGAATCAGGACGTTGACAGGTGTGCAGTCATGCTTGCGGTTGTGTACACTTTACACACGGATGACGTTGTCCTCCTCGTTGGGACATGCTGGAGACGCAGATATCCTTGCAATCAAAGAGAATGGGGCGCGGCAAAAGCTTTCCGAGCGCACCTGCTTCCCAAGTGCAAGGCGAAATGTTGCTATCTCGAAAGTCACCTGTCAGCCGCAGTGATACCAAACGACGCAACTATTTCTAACACGCTCTTTTGCACATCAGGGATCTCACTATTTCATTACGGGCTTAAGCGCTGCGATGTTATAAAGAGCCACAGGAGGTTCCCGTTTTTTTCGCTGCGCAAAGGCGACGCTGTTGTCGACAACTTCGCTGCCACGGCCGTGCTGTCGTCGACAGCTGCGCTGCCACGGCCGTGCTGTTGTCGACAACTCCGCTGCCACGGCCGTACTGTCGTCGACAGCTGCGCTGCCACGGCCGTGCTGTTGTCGACAACTCCGCTGCCACGGCCGTACTGTTGTCGACAGCTGCGCTGCCACGGCCGTGCTGTTGTCGACAACTCCGCTGCCACGGCCGTACTGTCGTCGACAGCTCCGCTGCCACGGCCGTACTGTTGTCGACAGCTCCGCTGCCACGGCCGTGCTGTTGTCGACAACTCCGCTGCCACGGCCGTGCTGTTGTCGACAGCTCCGCTGCCACGGCCGTACTGTTGTCGACAACTCCGCTGCCACGGCCGTACTGTTGTTGACAACTCCGCTGCCACGGCCGTGCTGTTGTTGACAACTCCGCTGCCACGGCCGTACTGTCGTCGACAACTCCGCTGCCACGGCCGTGCTGTTGTCGACAACTCCGCTGCCACGGCCGTACTGTCGTCGACAGCTGCGCTGCCACGGCCGTGCTGTTGTCGACAACTCCGCTGCCACGGCCGTACTGTCGTCGACAGCTGCGCTGCCACGGCCGTACTGATGTCGACAACTCCGCTGCCACGGCCTGACCGCTGGCTCAGATCTCAGCCATGCCAAGTGGATAGCAGTTGAAGTAATCTCATGCAGGGAGGACGCTTGTTCAATTTGAGCCTTCAGTCAGGAAAAATTCACTCAGTTTAGGCATCCCTGTAGCCCAAACTGACCCAGTTCGTTTCCAGAATGACACTGATAGCTTTCATTTTCACTTGTCCTCCTTGTATGAAAGAGAAGGTGGCCAAATTTCTATGCATAGTTTATAAATGGCTTCAAAAGCAATAACAGTCATGAAAAATACCGTATTTGGAACGGCTGTAACAATATTGGCACACGCTCGGGTGGTGGTCAAATTGACCCCCCACGGTTTTCCCAGAATGGTTTCCGAATGGCGCGGCATAGCCGCACCAAACTTTGCATAGTTGTAGACAATTGAAAAGCGGATCGTTCGCGATAAAAAAATTAAGTGTACCTTGCAAGGTCACTGACCTAGGGCAGGTCAAAGTCAGGCCACGGTTTCAGCGAAGGCAATTTCATTTCTAGGAATCGTCCAATCTGATCCAATAACGGAATGTTTGACGAAGCCATACATCTCTGAAATGCTTTCTTATGCAACCCAAATATCGAATGAGGAAATAACGTTGACCTAAGATCAGTTATGAAAGTCAGACCAAGGTCAAAACCAACCTAATTTATTACTCTAGGGCTTGCTGTATGTGATAGTTTGTGATGCTCATTTCGAATTTATTGACAACAGGAACCGCATTATGCATCTTTCATTGACTTCTTAGAGGTCAGAACAGGTCATTGACACAGGATGACCCGGAACATGCCTCCTAGCATAATCTTTGTCGTTTTTTCAAATGCAAAGCTCGAAGCAGTCTTGTATTATTTTGGTCACCATGACCTTCAAAAGGTCAAATAGGGTCACTGACCTCAAATGGGCTTGTGACCTTTTGCTTAAAAACAGCTGCCGAGGTTCTGGGGGCACTTTGGAAACCAACCTGGAATTTGACCTTGTTTGACCTCATTTAACCTGAATGTCATGATCTACGAAGTTTAAACTTTGATATAAGTGAGTTCACATACAGGTCAAGACACCCTGCAAATTTTGTGTTTCTAGCTTTCTTAGTTCCCGAGACCTCAGGGGGTCAAATTCCCCCCCCCCCCCCCTCCCACACGAACGAAGGGCATCTAGCCGGCCACCCGGGTGCGTGTTAAGTTTTACTTTTGCCTTTTCGTCTTCATATCAAGGTGATACCAATTATGATTCGGTGTCCCTTTTGCGTGAATCAGATTCGAAGAGAAAAGAACGAATCTATTGAAATATCGTCTTGGAAAGTCATTTTAAGTCCGCTTATGATTTGGGTGCTAAAAGTGTTTGATCCAAGTCCATTCAAATTACGTGGAGGTGCATCAGACACAAAAATCCGTGCATTGTCACGTTTTCCGTTTTTCAATTGATGAGATGCTAGGCAACATCATTTGTCATCATACAAACTAGAAGTTCGTTATGATGATAACATTGGAGCTTTAAATCCTGCCGCCAGTTTGCTTTAGCAAGGCTCTAAATGAATGACTAGCACCAATGTACTCGGCTCCAGCGCCCCGCAGGATTCACTTGTTCTTCATCTCCCGCAGTCTAAGGACGGTATATTTTTTAACAGCTGCGCAATGGCAGGCTTAGAGAACGCATTACAATATTTACAAAATAGCATCGCCTTTGAAGGTAAATATTTGTTCTCACACTTTTTGTTCTCACACACTTTTCGTATTGTTTGCTGTATTCCGCCTCCGGGCAGACCCAACAAAACATTGCCCTATGGTATAGCGTGAAAATCCTTCGCCAGCCGCAACAGGGCTGTTTCCGAGCGCTCCAGTCCCGTGAGGTTGAGAAAGACATCAAGTGCGTGAGCCCCCTCCCCCATACTTAAAGACCGACGGCACTCCAGTCCCGTGAGGTTGAAAAAAACACCAAGTGCGTGAGCGCCCTCCCTCATACTTAAAGACCGACGGCACTCCAGTCCCGTGAGGTTGAGAAAAGCACCAAGTGCGTGAGCCCCCTCCCTCATACTTAAAGACCGACGGCACTGCAGTCTCAGACACGTCGTCAGATCTCAGGGACCGCGATCAAAGGCCAGTGTACTGAAACAACATCCAGGAAATGTAGGGTATAGTGAGTTTCGTAAACAGCTTTGGTTAACAAACATTGCAGCAGTTTATCATTAAGGATAAGGGTAGAAGACCTGTGTCCTGAAGAGTAGATGGTCGGGTCCTGGCGATTTGCAATTGGTTGTACAGCTGTTATTCTAAGAAATATGTCCTCTTCAGACCTCAGAGCAGTTGATTAATGTTACTCCGACGTTCGAGGCATTGGAACCGCAAGTATCTGTGGTAGCCATTTATTTTGAAGAGCTTACTGAAGAGGCATCACAACAAGAGAGACTGACACGCAGCCGCTCATTTGGAAAACAGATGCTCATTATATTCAAATAGCGGACGATTCTCTCTCGGCCCTCGGCTACACAGGATGGGAAGCGCGACTTTTAACGGTATGACCTCGTTGCTACAAGGACAAATAGGTGAAACATGCCAGAAGTTGAACAGAAGTGCGGGTTCATTATACACCCAAAAAAGTATGAGTTCACGAATTCTTTTCTTCAGTTCATGAGTAAAAAGTATGAGTTCGCAGCCGTCCCGCACCGTTCGCCCAGCCTCCGGCGGCTTGTAGCGTCACGTAGCGGCAAAGTCGTAGGCTGGTGTTACAGCCGTCCTCGCTTGGTGACAGTACTGGTCAGCTTAACAATTACCCGGTTTACATGGGCAGCCGAGGATAATTCGAATTAAGATCGGAACGGATCATGCGACGTTAACCCTCTCGGCGAGGGGCGTTTACATGGGCGAAACCGGCTTTACGTTGGATTAACGGTCGATGGTTCGATCCCGCTTAGTTCGAACCAAGGAACGGGTTATGGGCGAAAACTGCGCCTTTGAGGCGAACTGAACAAAACAAGAAGAAAAAAGCCGGTACTCTGCGTATGGATGGCGAATGTCACGAGCCATGGTGGGCGCGAGACAGC